GCACCCCCGTCTTGGACCCGTTCCTGTCTGCGTGGCGGCGCGTGGTAGCGGCATTGAGAGAAGGGGGGGGTGCGTGTGGGGGGGGGGGGGGTTGTTAGCGGGAGGAAAGGAGCAATAATGTAATGTACAAATCTCAATCTCCGCGGGGTGGGGTGGGGTGAGGGAGTCTGAACAACACCTTGTAGGAAAGCCGGGAACACGAGAAGGTAGGCAGACAGGAAGGGGTCAAAGACGGGGGTGCCGGGTCTGTCCCATTCCTCCTCCACACCCTTTGCCTCCCCAACGAGATTCGGTGAATCAGACGGGCAGCAAACACCTCCCTACTGCCGCTGCTACTCTCCTCCTCTCCCCCGCGCCGGCGGGCCCGAGCGATGATCCCGCGGCTGCTGCCACCGGGGAGGAGGTGCTGCCGCTGCCGCCGCTGCCGGAGCCACATGGAAACCCAGAATCCTTGCGGCTGCTCCATCTTCAGCCTGTTGGGGGGGTGAACCCCACACCGAGAGTGGATGTCAAGCTGCCGCCCTCTCCCCTGGGTGCACGGGGCCCGAGGATCTGAACGTGTCACGAGCAGGACAGGCAATGGTTTCAAAGCCCCAGGCCAATTGACCATCTTCAGCAGCCTGCTCTTTCTCCCCCAACACACTTCTCCCCCACACTCGCCTTTCCCTGACAAACTTTCCAACAAGCTTTACCGGCGAGAAGTCTCTAATTTGCCCTTCACACTTAGTTTTTGGCATGGGGGGTGGAGAAATAAAAATAAAAGCAAAGAAAAAACCAACAAAACAACCTAGAAGCAGATCGCAACAAGAGCTGCCGCCACTCGGGCATTTGCTTAATTCCCCCCCCCCCGCACACCCCCTCTCCTTCCCCCCCCGACAGAAAAGGACAGGAGAAAAAATAGCTTTTCTTTATCTCTCTCCCCCCCCCCCCCCCCGCGCTCTCTGTCGTACATGTTGTCTCTGCTTCTTTTTGCATCGTTTCATTTTACCTTCCTCATTCAGCGGCAGCGGATTGTTACAGAGATATCCCTAACACAAACCTACCGCTTTCGAGATCCCAGGATTAATGAGATCTGTTCTTTGCCCTCCCCCTCCGTTGCAAAATTATGTTTTAAACAGCTCCGATGCCGGATCCAGCCATGTAAGTTTCATACATTCGCAAATAAAACACCAGAGAGGAAGAAGAGAGCTAGGGGGAGGGCTCGGGGGAGGAAGAAGAGCACCGGAGGAGAGTCTGATTTCTGCAATTTACCAGCGAAACGATCTCGCAGCAGCAAATAACAGTTTTAACACCCATCTGCTGGCTGGGGACTCCAAAATCCCCCCCGAGAGACGCACATCCCCCTCCCGAGACACATATCTACAAGTTTTCTGTCATCGCGACCACCCAATGTCACAACTTACCTTCAGAAACAGGACTTTAAACTGCCAAGGCCTTCCTCTCGCACAACCGCTTCCCCCCAGCCTCGCTCTCTCTCCACCTTAAACTTATTGACACAACATAATCCCACATTCATGCAAAATCCTGACACAGCCTCTCTCCTCCTCCGTCCCTCCCCCCCCCACAACACCATCTCTTTTATTCTTCCGTTCTCCAGGCTTGCACCCCCCCTTCTCGTTTTTAGATTTATTTTTAACAGGCTCCTCTCTAATTCATTGCATTTTGTTGTTGTTTGTGTGGAAGAGAGAGGGAGGGAGGGAAAGTGCCTCGCGAGGCAGGATTGTCTACCGGAAAATGCCGATTCCCAACTCTCAAGCCGAACAACTGAGCCCGCTCGGAGGGCTCGCCGCCGCCGCCACCCGCCACAAGCACCCCCATCCCCCAAGTCCACAACAGCGTGTGACACAAAACGCGAGCCACGCAGCGCAAATAAATCAACGCACCGACATCGGCCACTCTCACAGTGAAGTTTCGTTTCTCGCTGCCCCTGTCAAGACCCCCCCAACGCACACACTCACACGGACGGGGGGGCTGGGCTGTTTTCATGCCTCCTGTGGGCTTCCAGCTTTTATTTTCTCTTCTCCTACCTCCCCCCCCACCCCGGTCTCCTTCCTCTCTCTCCCGTTGTTGCTGCTGCTGCTGCCGCCGCCGCTTTTCCCTCTGAGAGCTGTGAGAGGTGCTTAGTTTCAAACGCAGCCTGGCACTGGCTGGCCTACCCTTGGGTTGGTGCTGCTTCCACCTCCCCCCTCGCCCCACCACCCTTTCCTCCTAATGCATTGCATTGCATTACAACTCACCTCTTTCCTTCGCCTCTGTCTGCCCCCCCCCCCTTGCACACACGCGCGCGCGCACACCCAGAGCCCACGTAACTACCTCGCTCCACTCCCGTCAGGTTGGAAGCCCACCGCTGACCTCCTTATCTCTCTTTCCCCCCCATCCAAAGTTTCAGACGGACGCGGAGGCAGGAAAAGTGAATGAGAATTGTGGCGGCAGCAGGCGGCGAGGGACGTCGAGAGGTCTGCTTCTTCCTTTTAACCCTGCCGGCGGTGGTGGAGGAGGAGAGGCAGAGGAGGAGGCTGCTAGTGGTGGTGCCGCTGGCAGAGTAGCCCTTAAGGACTGGCTGCCCCAGTGCTTTTGAGTAATAATAGAAAGGGAAGTGTTTGGAAGAGCAACGTTTTCCTCTAGCCTGGCTCAGGAGCGGGGGCTGGTGGTGCACTTACCTCCGACGGTGCCTGTCTCGTGTGTGTGTGTGTGTGTTGGCAGCAGTGGCCAGTCAGTGTTTCTTTATGTGAAAGTGAAGAGAGAAGCTCTCAGCAGAGCCCACTGTACACTGTTCCACATACAGTACATGCAAGCCGGAGAGAGACTGAAAACATTCATTTTTATATAAGGCAGCCTGCCATTGGCTCGTGGACTGAGGGACAGGTTGGCCAGCCATACAGCTCGCCTGTTACACCCAAAGAGAAACGCACGCAACCACACTCACACGCACACTCACACACACAGGCGAACGCGCGTGCACGCACACGCAAATATTATAACGTATCTTTAAATCGTTCTTTCGAGAGACCTGTGGGCAGCTTTAGCCAGGAAGTGCAGGTAGAAATAGCGAAACAGGCAACTCAGGTTGGAGGAAGAGAAAGGCACAGCCGTCGCGCTGCTCGGACAAAAAAATGCTCGGAACGGGTGTCCATTAACTGACATGGGAGGGCTTCTCTCTGGCCACAAACTCCCAACTCTGCTGGACACAGGAGTGGGGTTCTCGGTTGCAGGCGTGTAGTGGCCCGCAGAAAAGCAGGGCTTTGTGTGACGATTTGCCAGGGGGAGCTGGTAAACAATTGCCACGGGGCGCATTTTCACTGGCTTTTTCTGATCCGGTCGTTAGCTGGGCTGAGCCCACCGAGAGGCCAGGAATACCGAACAGAGAAGTTAGCAACGCCTGAAAAATGCCTCTCTGGCAGCTTTCGCCCGATTAAGAAATGCATAGTTTACCTACACAAAAGTTGAGTCTGTGATGCAGGAAGTTGGCATTGCCCATTTGCTGAAATCTGACTTTGCTGTCAAAAGTTCATCAATTAATAAGACCTAAGCAAAAGGATGGGGTAGCTGGAAGTCCACAAGAAAGACCTAAAAATAAACTTTACAGGCCAATATTATCATCTTGATATTAAAATTCTCCCTTCTTTAACATATTATTGGAATGGATGCCTGTGATAAAGCAACACAGGCTTGTGGCACCCTAAAAGACTAAGTCTGCAAATAAAATACAAAACCCACTAAAGTGGGAGTTTAACTTACAGAGCATGTTTGGACTTCCTTCTGAGTATCCATGGGTGGGATCTCACTCCACCTCACTGTTGCATTAGCTTTAATAGATTTCAGTTCAATTCATCAGATGTATTCAGCATTCAGCAAGTGAATTTTAGTGCACCCAAGCTGATGTCATCATAAACGAAGTGTTTAAAGTGTCAAGATTTTTTTTTTGTTATTTTTGCTGCCACGGATGACACTTTTGGAAATTGTAATTACAAAGTAGTTCACAACCGCTCAATATTGACAGTAGGGTATGGCTCATATTCTGTTCCTTACCATGTTTTCAAGTTCTGGTTTGTTGTTCAGAATAATATGGAGGTATGCTAGAAAGAAAAAATGTGTTTATACATGATGTGTATAATATCACTGTATTCCTGGCCTTACAATCAGAGTTAGCATTTGAAGGCAGCTGATACATATATACAATAAAGCTTCTTTTCTGAGTTTTCTATTTCTTAGTAATAGGAGAAAATCCTGTGCCATCATTTTTTCTGTACCTTTTGCTAAAGTATTCCACATGATGAGTTGAAGCAGCTTTTGCCCTAGATTCTGTAATGATATATTTCATTGGTATAACAGTAATATTACTCTTTTTACTGAAGAACTTTGAGTACTTCTTCGTCAGTTCTCAAGTCTGATCTCCTCTCCTATTTTAAAGATGAGGGGCACTCTCCAAAATTATAATTGCTGATCTGAAAAGGCTTATGCACATTTTTTTCTGTGTGGTTATTGCAGACTAGTAGACAGATACATATCAAGAGAAGCTCTAGGAATTTTTTTAAAGCCTCCAATTCCTTCCACAGAAAAAAATACTTAGGATTGCATCCAAAATTTACAGGATTTTCTCTGCAAAATCTTTTATATTGGTCCTGACATTTCAGTTTCCCATGCTCACAAATGTGCATCTCAGTTTTAATATATATGTGAGAATCTGCCTTTCTCCTTACAAAAAAGTTATTGTTGATGCAACCATATAGTCCATGTCTTCTATAATTTGTCCATCTACACATTCGGTTTAACGTATTTTTTCAGAATACAGAATTTTGTATTGACTTGAGGTTTTCTGTGTGTGTGTTTTCTTTTTACAGACAATGGGTACCACAGGAAGTGCAAAAAGCCCCACATTTAGAACTTTTCTTATCAGTGGAACACTAAAGGCCACTTCACAATTACGCACTGAAAAACCACTGTTTGGTCACTGTGTGTACAGTCAGCAAGGACTCCAGCGAATCCCAGCTCCCTTGCATGTACCTGCATGAGAAATTTGTGAAAAATGCATTTGTCATATCTGTGCATTATGGCTGCACTTGACAGAACAGCATGACTGGTTCCATATACCCAGAGAAAAGAGATTTCATTTTCTTAAATATAAGCTTTTCATGCATTCTGGAAAAGTGCTTCTGAAACTGAGGAGATTCCCAAAAATGGTTTGTGATATGGCACAGGGAGTTCTTTTTTTCTTTTAAACCTTACTCGGCATACTTTGGGTATGCCTTCTCTTTATACCTGTAGACATACCCTTTTCAACATCATTGTTTAATCATACTTGAAGGAGAAAGAATGTAAACTTTTGGAACTTCTGCCTTTTCTTGGTACTCCTAAAACACAGAAGCTCTTTCACTTCAGAAAATGAACGTCTAAATCCCACCCTCCAGGTCAATAAAAACTCCTTTAAATATCTGCCCTTCTTGTATCGATATTTCTGGTGTATAGAATGTGAGACTGTTTTTAAGATATTTCCATGTTGTAGCAAAACATATTGTTTGTCTATACAAGTTTAATATGTTTGAGAAAAAAAACTTCAGCTGTGCCTTTACCCCATATAAAACAAAAAGTGATAAACACCATGATAAGAGGTCCATATTTATTTTTTGACTTACAGAGATATTAAATTAAAAGAACATCTGCAAACATCTGCATTTGGAAAATCAAGTCTGGGTAAGATTGTCATGCTGGATTCACAGAAGCAGAGATACCCCAAAATTGTTGATTATTTCTGAACTTTGGCGGAATGCAGTAATAGAACTATGCATTTTTAAATCTTGGACATAGTAGTTTCATGCAGGAGAGATATTTATTTTTCCTGCATCATTATTAACATTTATATAGCATTGTATTTGTGCAAAAGCAAGCAATACAGTAAACAATTTAAATAAATTAACAGCTATTTTTATTACTTCAATTGCAAAGCATGCAGCTAAAACATCTCTTTCCCTCTCCCCACATTATTCCATGCTTGAACAATTGTTTCTCTGTTGTTGGTATGTTACAACAGCAATAACAGTGACTGTTGGCCAACCCAGACTGAAAAAAGCAAACTCTGAGCATGTGCAGTTTTGCACATTAAATTTGCAGAAATTATAACTTTGTCATAACTACATAAATAAAATGGCATTCATTTATGTGTCTTGATGCTCTTATCACCTGTTGCATTCAGGCTGGTCAGTTGTGGTGGGGGACCCGGAGACAGGGCCCTGGACTTTGGACCAAAGCTGCAAATCTACCTTCACCAGTGCATGAGTGTTTAGAGCCTACAAATACCATCTAATGCACTTTTACTGTTTAAAAAATATTTTTGTGGTTCTCTAATTCTTACATTTCAAATTAATTTCTATCACTCATGCTGACCTTCTGAAGCAGTAAGTACATTCCAAACATCTATCAGCCTGCTGCACTAAAAATTGTTTGAGTGGGGTTGGGAAGGTGAGAAAGAGTTTGTTTGTTTACTCATGTATATTTGCAAATTTAGCTGCATCTCAACATTTTAGTAAGGCCAAGAAAAACTAATATTTTATTAAGCCAGAAGCACTCTGCTGTGATTCTCATGGACAGTGTCCCACATACATTGAGGGTGCTTCCAGCTGGAGAGCTCCTGGCATGAGCCGTCAATAGCCACATGCAGTAATTCCATCTCTTCTTTAACAGATTTGGTTCAAGAAAAAAAAAAAAAAAGAATTAGTAGGAATTCACAACAGATTGAAGACATTTTCCAGATCTCTAGCAAAATTCAGTGAACAAAATTCTCATCTGGAAGCACCTTGAAACATCTTTATTATTTATTTGTAATATTTATATACTGGCCTACATTAGCAAATCACAGGGCTGTATATGAAATTGATCAAGGATATAATGCAATGGGGATTCCCATAGTCCTCTGAACCCACAGTATTATGCACTTCTAACAGAGGGCAGGAAGAACACAAAGGGAAATTTGCCATTGTGCTTCCTTACCACCCTGAATACTTTAGATGGCTAATTTCAGTAATCTATGTACTTTGCACTTGCTTGCAAGGAGAGGAGCTAGAAGCACTGCCAAGAATCCTTGTAGGATGGTGCCAACTCACTCCCTTCTCCTTCCCACAGAATGCTCTCCCAGTGGAGTTTCCATAGTCAGCCTTCTGACTGCAAAGCTGCAGTCCTCATTGAAAAAAATGCTGTACCTGTGCAGGTGAAAGGAGGTTGCTCCAAAGCTGGAGTTTCAGCTCCCTCCTCAGAGTGCTTTTCCAAGGTTTCCAAGGCCAACTACTTGTCATAGGATTGTGCCCTAAGACAAAATGCAATGTAAATGTTTCAATAAATATGTGGAAGTTTTCTTCAATTGTATTATATATAATGTGATCAGGCCAGGTCAGGCCTTCAAAAAGAAGTGTGTGATAGAACTTTTTTTTTTAAATGTTTTTCTTTTCTTTTTCTTTTCTTTTTCTTTTTCCCCTTTTCCTTTTTTCTGTGTCACTATTAATGTATCCATCTTTTGCTATTTCAGG